CGAGGTTTAACCCTTTAATTGGGGCTATTAGTCTCTTGAGTACGCCCCAATTCCTTATTGGATCAATTTCTGAGACTTAGGTTCTCTTTCTCAAGAAGAACCCTAGTCAACTAAACACAAACTAGTGTTTGCAACCACTAATTCAGCAATTAACCATGAAATTGACCCAAATATCAAACACTCATAGTCAATTTAGCCTTAAAATACAAGACCTATCAATTACCCACACTAGGGTTGAACCACAACCCTAGCTTATGTGTCTAGCTACTCATAACTAAAGAAGAAAAGCAAGAAATAGAAGAAGATAAACTCATATTAATTAATAACTAAGATAAAAAATGAAGATTCAATGTTGCAAAGTAGTTAAAAATACCCAAAATGGCTAAAGTCGAACCCACGAGCGCAGCTGCTGTCCTAGAATATCTGATACCCTAAAAATAGAAAAAGAAGCTATTTATACTAAGCTAAAAATCTAGACAAAAATGCCCCTGCGGGGTTAGTGCGGTCCGCACAGAATGGTGTGCGGCCGCACTAGGGCTCTAAACTTAAAAATTCAACTCTCTGAACTCGGGCAATGCGGATCGCGCTTAATGGATTACGGTCATGGAGGATTCTAATGTGGTCCGCACAGAATGGACTGCGGACTGCATTGGCTTGAAAACTCAAAACTGGCATTCTCTGAATCTTGGCTATGCGGAGGACACATAATCGAGTGCGGCCACATTGGTCTCAGTGCAGACCACGCAAATCCTAGTACGACCGCATTGCCTTTTTGCCTTGAAATCGACCTCTCTGAATCTCCTAGTACGGACCGCACAAAGTGGTGTGCGGCCGCACTGGGCCTGTTCTGCCTTAGCTTGTCTTGTCTTTGACACTTGTGCAGGTTTCACTCCTTTTGAGCCGATATTTGACATATAGTCACTTTGTTGATCAAACCTGCAATCAAGCACAACTTGTGAGCCTTTTGGGACTATTTTGTATGAATTCTAATCAAAACATAAGCAAGAAGGAGTATAAAATGCGCTCAAATCCCTAGTTATCATTCATTCACCCCTAATTACCTACTCTGCACCTAATTCTTACTTGATTTCTTTCCTTAAATATATGTCCTGCTCTTTACCTTTGATTGATTATCCCTTGATTAAGGGGAAGACTTTACTGATTTCACGTGTGTGATTGATTCTGTAAATTTTCCTAATTGCTACATAATTGATTCTTTACCTTATTTTTTTTAACTCTTGATTATTATATATGCCCTTACCTATTCTCATTTCTGAACACAAACATTTTAGTTTATCAACATTCTAATACTCTCAAAAGCTCTTTATTCTATTCTGTTACTTGCAATTCTCATTAACCCAGCCGGCTGTAAGCTAAGGCTGGCTATTTGCACTATCTCTACTTTATACTTTGTGTTCTCTTCTTAACTGGTATGTCCTGATTCAATTCAAATTCCAAAACTATGTGTTTCTTTGTTGTTTCAATCATTAGCTGTAACTTCCAACCCTGCTTGTTATTTTACTATCATGTTGCTCGCATGCCTAGACCATACTGCCTAACTACTGTCTCACTTAGCATGTTGGAGTTTGCTCTGTTAGAAGCTATGACTAGTTTATTTACCCACAAGGATTTGTTTACTGTTTAGCATGCTTGATCCTGTTTTGTGACAATTGCATGCATCCTGTTTTGCTCATTAACATGTCCAAGCTATATTATTTACTGTCTCACACAGCATGTCTAAATCCTTCTTGTTCTATCTAGGCTTAGTATTTCTAAACTATGAATGTTTCATGGCGTGCTTGTCTAGCTTGTTCATCTAAGTCTTGCTTGCTTTACTTTACTAGTGAGATCCTGCTAGGTCATCTAGCCCTTCAAAGTACTCTAATTGTTCGTATTGATCATATCCAAGACCTATGTGTTCTCAACATGTCTTTGTTGTGATCTTTGTAACTAACTTGTCAACTCTCCAATCTCTTGAGAAGCTTGTACATCTGTTTGCTTATACACTAAGGTGTGTTCTATGTGTCCCCAACCCCTCTCTCCATGTGTGGAACCTGTTTGCCCCAAAATTTGTTTGTTTGTGACTTGAATTCTGATTTCAAAAAATGTTCTTCATGATTTTCTCAAACTGTTTTACCCCCTTGAACTAGTACTAATTTCGGAAACTCTTCATTCCTAAGGCTCTTCTTTATATTGTTTCAAATCATACCGAGCACTCTCACTTATTCTTAGGTTATTAAGTTCTGCCCCTCTGGTATGTGTACGGCTTAGGGATCCATGAGATCTCTCTGAACTCTGGCCTATCAGGGCTGGCATTTCCACACTGCACATAATCAGTCTTTATTTGAGGAAAGTTTGGGTGTGAGCACTGCCTGAGATCCTTGAGGTCCTTAGGGAACTCTGACACACCTAGACATGAAATTGGCTATTGAAACTTTGGCATTCGAGGCTACTAAAGGTCTGGTATATCAGGATCTGCTTTGGGCCTACTTCAGGATCCCTATAGCTTAATTTCTATTCTATTTATGTAATTTTTTTTATTCAATGCTTGGTTTGTAATAATTAATTATAAATGAATATTGGGGTGATTCGTAAAAAAGGAGGGTAATTGTAAATTGTGGGTAAAGTTGGGTGGATAACATGCCTATAGGGTTTATTGTGATTTACATGTGGTGTGTTAGACAACCTGCCTATAGGATTTCTTCGTTGAAATAAATTCTACCTGCTCCACTTCATATAATTAGACACCATATCTATAGGGAGTACAGTAACTGAGGTTCAGTTCCCATTACAACATGTATTCAAATTTATCTCCTTAGAAATTATGCCTATAGGATCAAAATTAGCTTTAATAATTAGAGATCATGCCTATAGGATCTAAACTACCTTTAATAATTAGAGATCATGCCTATAGGATCTAAATCAGCTTTAATCATAGAAATCATGCCAATAGGATCTAAAATCAGTTTAATTTTAACTCACGCCTGTAAGTCCTGAATCAGTCTTATTAAGTTATCCTACTTGTTTCTTTAATGGTCTTCAAATTAATATCAATAGAAAGCATGTCTATAGGATAAATGATTTTAGAATGTCCCTTCGGAAGTGTGACTACATACGCATGTAGGCAAGCCTTAGGGTGTTAAATAACCGTGAAACCAACTCTATTTATGTGTGAGATTATCCAGGTTTAACAAGCTGTAAAACCAGTAGGCAAACCGGTTAGGGTCCTGTCACTCCCCTTAAAAATAAAACGCTGCATGTTCTGTTTTGTGATGCTCATCTAGATATCTTGTTCTTAGGATTTCTGAATTTTCTTCAAAAAACTATGTTTTAGACGTGCTGTTTGTTTGCCTATATACATGTGGAGGTAAAAATGTGAACCTTCTAATTGTCAATCCTTATTTGTTTGTCCTATATGTTATTTGCATGTCGCCTAGATTTTTACCTTTTTACAAACTTTAATCGGTCTAGAACTGTCCAGATTTAGGGGTCCCAAATTCCTCTAGGATCATAAGAAAGGGACGGGTAGCAACACGCTTAGAGGTCGCTAAATTAGACTCGCTTATATGACCACTAAGGGGTGGGCAATGGGTAGTAAAAAGATATGATAACTGCGCACTAATGTCACGTGTAGCCCCTCATTGAGGAGTGATTACCAGGCATTGCATGGGTATGATCCTGTAGGCTAATCAACCTAGGACTCCCCTTCCCCAATTCCATATATGTTTTAAATTTTATGAACTTTCTTTCCTTTACATATGCATGTGCAAGTTATTCAAACATCTCCCTTGCTCTCATTATCTGAATCATATATGTACTTAGAATGTGAAAACATACATTTACTTGCAAATATGTGTTGAAACTGTTTATTTATTAAAATGATTAATTCACATAGTTTAAGTTCAGTGGGACCCACCGTTGTGGACCGCGAGGGGTGTCTAACACCTTCCCCTCAAGGTTACTTCGAGCCCTTACCCTAATCTCTGGTAATACAAACTAGTTCATGAGTTAATCGCTTTAGGTGCTCTAGCGCACCGTAACCCGTTACGTGACGACTCTTCAACTACCCAATTTCCAAAAGGGAACGAGTTGTTCCCAATGAATGTCAAACCCGGACTCCGCGAGAAAAAATGGGCACGACAGTTGTACTGCATAATGTGCTTGCATATAATTTTGGATTAGAAATCCAACAAAATAGCTGTTCAACTGTGGGATTATTGTTATGATCTTATTAATCTATGTGTTGTGTCTCCCTCCTTTGTTTCCTTTCGCTTTTGGCGAATGCATTATGCAGCTCTAGTTGTTGTAAATGTCTTGTCATGTTTAGTTGGCTAATGGCATGCCAGGGTATTCTTCTTCTTGCTGATGGATTTCCCTTTTATAATGTACTACCTTTTTTTCCCTTTGTTTTTCGAGTTTAATGAGCGCTTAGGAGTACGAATGGTAGCGCTGTAGATAGATTGCAAGGCTAACATATATTGTCGACATATTCAAATACCAAAAGCTTCTTCTCATTCTTATAGTAAAAAGCCACAACAAGAAATAAGTTCTTATAGTTCAATTTGTAAATTATTCTCATATATCCACAAAATTATTTCTTGCCCGCTTTGTTCATATAAATAATTTAAAATATTATAATGATAATCAAACATACATAGTATAAATTAGCTAAAAAATATGATGTCTTTAAGATCTTCATAAGACATAAGTAGCATGAAATTAATATTATTCGCTATTAGTCGTATTGTATATTTATAAATTTATCTCGTACTTTACTTTTTTTGTTTTCTATTTTTTTCACTTTTTTTTTTAGTTGGGGCTTTAGATGTGAAATGTGTATGTAAAAACTAGTAAAATAATAAAAAGAGTATTACGTAAAGGAGGAAATTCAAAATAACAAGGGTAAAATATTATACAATATAAAGGGGGAGAATGATAATTATTTAAAGTTAAGGGCGAGTTTGATTTTTAACGCAATTTTGAAGCGAAAAAGCGTTTTGTACTTCAGACTCTCTCTACTCATAAATTGTACATAGTTGTTACCCAAAATTAGGGCGCACCGAGATAGAGCAGAGCACCAAATTGAAGATGACGAGAATTCCTCTGCTGCGTTACTCTTCCAATGGTATTTTCTTTGCTATTTCCCGTTCTGGTTCGGCATTTACCATCAGAGATTATTCTTCTTCTCATACCAATATTGAGAATGTCAATTGTTTAGATGATGCTTTGAGTCTCTTCCGTCGAATGGTCAGAACTCAGCCTCTTCCTTCTGTTTTTAGCTTCTCCAAATTACTAAAGACTATGGTAAATATGAAGCATTACTCTTCTGTTCTTTCCCTTTTTCGACAAATGCTGAAATCTAATATCCCAATTAGTGATTCCATCTTGAATATAGCGATTAACAATTATTGCCTAATGCATTGTTCTGACTGCGGATTTTCAGTATTAGCCATTTACTTGAAGAATGGCATTCCATTTGATGTTATCACATTCAACACCTTACTAAGGGGACTCTTTGCTGAAAATAAAATCAAAGATGCTGTTAACTTGTTCAAAAAGTTGGTGAGAGAGAATATCTGTGAGCATGATGAAGTCATTTATTTGACAGTCATGAATGGGCTTAGCAAAAGGGGCCATACCAAAAAAACTTTCAATTTGCTAAGAGTAATGGAACAAGGAAGCATCAAGCCAGACACAAGAATCTATAGCGTTGTTATAGATGCTCTTTGCAAGGATAGAATGTTGGATGCTGCAATTAGCCTTTTCGAAGAGATGAAACAAAAAGGCATTCCTCTGGATGTTATCGCATATAATTCATTGATTGATGGTTGTTGTAAGCTTGGTCAGTGGGAAAAGGTTAGGACTTTGTTCTCTGAAATGGTAAATCTTACTATTTATCCAAATGTGCACACCTTGACTATAGTGATAGATGGACTTTGCAAAGAAGGGAAAGTTGAAGATGCTGAGGAGGTAATGAGACACATGAATGGAAAAGGTGTGGAGCCAGATGTGGTCACTTACACTGTGATAATTGATGGATATTGCTTGCGCGGTCAAATGGATAAAGCAAGGAGACTTTTCGATTCCATGATTGATAAGAGCATTAAGCCCACCATTATTAGCTATAACATATTAATAAATGGATATTGTAAGAAAAAGAAATTGGATGAGGCCATGCATTTGTTTCATGAAATTTCTCGAAATGGATTGAAACCTAGCATTGTTACCTACAATACTATCTTTCGAGGTCTATTTGAAGTTGGAAGAACCGACATTGTGCAAAAATTCTTTGCTGATATGCTTTCTATGGGGCTCATACCCGATTTATGCACTAATCGCATTTTGCTCCGTGGTTATTTTCAGAATGGACTTGTTGAAAAAGCTATGTCTCTATTTCATGAGTTGGAAAAAAAGAGAGAAGATATTGATATTGAACTTTACACTGTTATTATTGACGGATTGTGCAAAAATGGTCAGCTCGACAAAGCTCATGCTATTTTTGAGAAGCTTTCTTTGATTGGATTGTTTCCTAATGTGATCACATACACTACAATAATAAATGGACTATGTCTAGAAGGGTTGTTGGATGAAGCTAAAGATATGCTAAGAAAAATGGAGCACAATGGTTGTTCGCCAAACAACTGCACTTACAATGTTATTGTGCAAGGATTTCTCAAGTTTGGCAAAATTAATGAAATGAACACTTTTTTGAAGGAAATGAGTGGAAGGGACTTCTCATTTGATGCACGTACTGTAGAGTTACTAATAGACGTTTCAGCAAAGGATCCTTCTTTGCTTAACATGATACCACAGTTTCACACGGGAAGTTAGAAGTAAATATTTATTTCACTTGTTATCAATATGATGTAATTTCCTTTTACCTTGGCCAAAGAAATCGCATCCAATGGAATGTCAAAAGGTGAAAGCATGGCAATTAAACATGCTTAAGCTTTCCAAGCTAGCTTGTTTAAGAGGTACACCTGTTCTGATTTTTAATTCTTTTGCTGCTCTGCTTTTTGTTCTGGATCATATTTTACTGTAATCTTAATATGAGAAGTAACATGAGTTTTCTTATGTGTGCACATTATAAGTCTAGGATTAGCATTTTCAGTGGTATTAGTTATCTTCAAGTATTATCATTTTCTGACTTTTTGAATATCAATAACAATTTCCTGTAACTTAGAATTTGCTGTAGAAACATTATTCTTGATAGTTTCTAAGGTCTTGATTACATCAATCATAATTGTGACAATAGAGCTGATGTAACACCATTGAGAACTCCAGCTCAGCTGAGAAGCTAATTTCCGTGTTACGCGAGATAGTGAATTATGGTGCTGGCATTCGTCCTGGATTTACGACATCCGGGATTCCATCCATCGATGAAATTTCTGACAGAATCAAGAAGATGCTTGCAGGATACCGATATACTTTGGTTAAACCATGATTGTGGCCTCACGACTCGCAAGTATACTGAAGTTAAGTCGTGCTCTCAGCAGCGGCTGGTGAATTGTTCAATGGTCCTCCTGGAGCATACTGGACTGCAGAGGAAGCAGAAGCAGAAGATTCTGTTGCACATCTTGCATTAATGACAGTGGCAACAGTTTCCTTGCAAAAGGTAAAACACTTCATCATCTAATAGTCAACCTGTCTTGTTTATCTCTACTGTATCTGATTTATATTACTTGTTGTTTTGACAAATAGAAATCTTTTCTATAATATTTGACGTTTTAGAAAATCGAGAAGCATTTTATCACTGTTTCTCCACATTCATCCTTTCTACTCAGGTTGTGGATTGTTAATTAAGCGAGACGTTTAAGAGAGATAAAGGATAGTTCAAACAAATAAATGTCTTTCTTGAAGGGTATGCAAAAACCTTGGAAACAGCTAATTCGGACCCTAGGTACTAGTTTTTTCTTTTTCTATTTCGGAAATTGACACGGAAAACTTGTTAGATTCCTGGGTTAAGTATTGTGTAATTGAGTGATGAAGAGGTAAATCGTCTTCTTTTAGAAACGGGCAAAAGAAAATGCTGCCAACGTTGCTTATATAACTTTAACAAAAATTTAAGCTAATAGCTAATACTGTTCTTTACTTTCGACATTCTTTTGACATCTTTTCCCATTTCTGGCAACTGTTTCCCTTGGACTTGGAAGATGAAATCTCCAAAACCAAACCTTTCATGGAAACTATGGAAGCTAAATCTCCAAAACAGTCCACAGGTGCAGAAATGGTTACTGCATCTTTTGAGAAGTCACCTTCTTCAGTGGAATCATTGTGCAATCTGCCTAGAGGAACTAAATCCTTTGCTGCAACGACACCATCACATCTCTCTCTCTCCCTCTTATCATGTGGAAAATCTAATTAGCTGCTCCATACAATACAAACTTTACCTGCTAAGATTGAGCTTATTTTACTAACATTGCCAAGTCAGATAATCTTTCTACACTTGTACTGGTGACAAGTAATTTCATAATGTACTTTCCTATAGTTTTGGATTAGAAATCCAATAAACAATGATCATCAGAGTACATACTCTACTAAATAGCTGCTCAACCATGTAGTTTATCTCTTATTAATTTATCTCTCTCCCTCTTTTATTTCCTTTTGTTTTTAGCAAATGAAGGATGCTGTTATGGCATTTGGCGAAGAGCTCTAGCACTACTTAATTACAGGACATGTCGCTGATGTCTTTGGATTTGACAAAATCTTGTCATATTTTAGTTGACTAAATGACATGCCCGAGTATTCTTCTTCTTCCTTAACTGCTGCATTGAGGGTTACAGGCCTGAAGTGCAGAGATATTCTGCTTCTTGGTCCAATTTTCCCTTCTATCGTAACTTGTTATGCTTTATCTGTCGTGTTAACTGAGCATACATGAGATGCAGATCATTTCACCTTATTAGAATATATGTTTTATTTCAAATGATTAGATAGTGGTGACATAGAGTCACAATACCAAGAACTAAAACAGCAGCAGCAGGAGTCATTTTGTCGCTTTCCTTTAGCATCTCGCGTTGCAGCCTACTCACTAGCATTCCTCTATTCATTTTCAGATTCACTGTAAGAACTTGCTCTCTCTCCTTCTGATGAAGTGCCACTTGTACACTTTTCCCGGGCGGGTAAGGTCTGCTACATACTACCCTCCCAGACCCCACTTGTGGGATTTTACTGGGTTGTTGTTGTTGTTATAAAATGTAACTTAAATATATACTTAATATGCATTATATTATTACAAAAATCTTAAATTTTTTGATAAATTTATAAAAAGGACCATTCTATTTATAATTTTAAAATTTAAGTTGTAATTTATAATAAGGTATATAATAATTTAATTATAGGTTCATAAAAAGTCATATAATTTTTTTTTAAAGTTTTAGAAATTTTAGTTGAGATGATCATTAACTATTTACAATATACAAGGAGTATTAATTTAACTAAGGGAGAAGAAAATAATGAAAGAGTTAGGGAGCGTCACCGAACCAATTAACATATGAAGTATAATAAAAATTTTGAGTAGAGTCGAGGAGTCCATTAAAATTGAAGTTTTTGAGTACTCGGATTGTAAAATATTTATTCTTACACACATTTAAAAGAGTTTATAGGAATATCAAGCCTTAGTATGATGAATAAATTAACTTGATAGAAGGTCCAACATATCAAATGAGTAGCTAAGTTTGTGACACAAACTTTCAAGAAATAAAATTGACTTGTAATAAAAAGAGTGCAAAGCATAGGGTAGAATTGGGGCTTGGCTTGGGGCTTTCATGTAATTACAATGCTGCTTCAATTGAATTGAAAAAATCGATATCTTACTTAAATGTTTGTCTAAGAGTAATTAAAGTTTAATTTTCAATGAAGAACAAATATATGAAAAGAACCAGTTTAAACAAGGCATGCACTAATTACCATAATGAAATAAACACTAGATAAATTTACTTATATCGATTTGATTTATCTTTTCTTAAATAATGGAATAACATTTAATTTTAGCAAAAAATAGTATATTAATTGAGATTAATTAAATCTTAATATCATGGGTGAGAGTGAAAGGAAAAAATACAAAAGAAGAATGAGGATGAATAGGAGAAAAAAGAGTTATAGTCGATTAATTGTAAGAGTACAAATGGTAGCGCGTGTAGATAGACTGCAAGGCTAACATACATTGTCGACATGTTCAAATACCAAAAGTTTCTTCTCATTCTTATAGTAAAAAGCCACAACAAGAAATAAGTTCTTGTAGTTCAATTTGTAAAGTATTCTCATATATCCACAAAAATCTTTCTTGCCCGCTTTGTTCATATAAATAATTTAAAATGTTATAATGATTATCAAACATACATAGTATAAATTAGCTAAAAAAACGTGATGTCTTTAATATCTTCATAAGACATAAGTAACGTGAAATTAATATTGTTCGCTATTACTCGTATTATATATTTATAAATCTATCTCGTACTTTAATTTTTCAGTTTTTTGTTTTTTATCTCTTTTTTTAGCTGGGGCTTTAGGTATGAAATACGTATGTAGAAACTAGTAAAATAATAAAAAGAGTATTACATAAAGGAGGAAATTCAAAATAACTAGGGTAAAATATTATACAATATAAAGGGGGAGAATGATAATTATTTAAAGTTAAGGGCGAGTAAAATAGGTTGTGAATTATCCATCATACTCACTCAATTCTCAATCGAGAATTTATCTTGCTTCTTCCTTATTTATAGTTAGCTAATCATTACTTTTTTCCTACGATCATTACTTATTATTATTATTATTATTATTATTATTATTAATTCTTCTCTCCAATCTTTCAAACCTGTTATATTTATTATTTAATTTTACTGATTCATGTATCCTCTAAATAAATAGAGGTAGACTTGTTTAGTCATGGGGAAATATTTCACATTGTTGAAATAGTTTCTTAGGACAGTGGCCAGCACGACTCAAGCCAATTCGTGCATTTCTACTCACTAATACTATTATTGCGGTATTGTTGTTATTTTTCCGTGTCATTTCCCTACATGTTCTACCACTAATTACACATTAATTCATCCATTATTCCATATTCTTCATGATTTTATAATTTATTACCCCATTTTCTTCCAATTTAATACGAGAAAGAATTCCTACACCTATAAATAGGAGTGTTTCTTTCATAATGTGTTATGAAAAAAATTGTATAGTGCTAAAAAAAGCCAGGTTAAAGTTGTGAAAAAAGAAGAAGAAGAATAGATTTTTACTTTTGTTGAAGGAAGGTTTTTATCTTGATGGAGCTTTAGACTCAACAACTTATCCAGAGTTTGTTCGAATCATACGACGTGATCGGGCTATTGTATCCTGGGGAGACAATTCAAGAGGATTACCGCTGGACCAGTAGAGACTTTGCTGCAGTTAGAGCCGTCAAAATGGGCTTGGCCCGTGAGGCCAGCCCAACCTAGCCCGCTATTTGGGTAGGGCTGGGTTGGGATTTTTTAGCCCATTTAAAAGTGAGGCTTATAAGCCCAACCCCTAGTCAGCCCGGTGGCCCTTGAGGCTTGACCGAGGTTGGGCCTGAGCTGGCCCGTGGGCCAAAAATTAATTAAATTCAAATTTAAATATTTAAAAAATTAAAAACTAAAAAAAATATTAACTATAATCCCAATTTTCCAAACTTATATTACTCATTTTATCCTTCCATATCAACTAGAATTTATATTTTTGATATGCATGTAACATGACAAGATTAGTTTTTATTCTGCTTAATTAACAACGAACTAGAAAAGTTTTAAATGGCCAATAATATTTTTTTTCAAAAGAAAATATTACTTTAAGTGGCCAATGATCAGTTTGGTTACTTTAATATATTATTAATTATTAAATTTCTCTTCAGTATAGTAAAAGGTAAAGTTTTAATACCCAAAGAAAATTGACAACACTAGCAAATTTCATAAATTTTAAAAATTTTATGGACTATAATGATGAAATTAACAAATAATGTTAAACCTAAATTATAAAACCTTAACATATAAACTTATTGAAGCAATTCGTGAACCTAAGAAAAGTGAAAGAAAAGTACTAAAAAATTATTCATGTAACGTTAAAAAAAAAAACTAGAGATATAGAGAATTTGCATTTCAATTACGAGATTCCTTGTCAAATATTAAGATTCTTGTACACTCTAAATAAACAGAAGTCATTCATATGATTAAGAGATTATGTTATGAAAAATATTTAAAGATTTGAAGAAATATTTTTTCCTAAAATAAATTGAAGGGCCCGCCCGCCCTAGCCCGCAGCCCTCTTAGGGTTGGGCTGGCCATTTTAAGGCCCATATAGATGGAGGGTCGGGCCGCCCTAGCCCACCAAATTTAAAAGCCCATGAGGCTTGGGCTGGGCTAGCCTGTTTTGACAGCTCTAGCTGCAGTGGGCTTGAATCTCCTTAAAGAGAGCGAGATATCTGCACCTCACCTTAAAATATTTTATTTTCTCCATTTTATTTTTCAACTATAATTGTATTTTCACTAACACTTTTTCTACACAACGAAAGAATCGCCTGAATTCATCACCATAAAAATTGCCCCAAGTCGAATTTTAAATTTCTTGAAAATCAAGTTAGAATTCACGAACTAAGTATCTTTTATCCTTGTGTGGTTATTAAAGAGGAAGAAGGGAGTAGTGTTTAATCTTCTTGTGGGTCGGAGAAGAAAGAAAATTTGTGCTTAGGTATTGTAAAAGAGAAGTTAGGATTACTCAAAGAAAAACTAATCAACCCCCACCACTATTTAACCTTGTGTGGTGGTTTTATTTTTGAGTAACTTCCCTTTAGCCTTATCTTTTCTAACAGGTCGGGCCAATCCATATGGACGATCCATGACCCAATATCCAACACATACTGTATTTGTTTATCAAACCCTATGTAAACATGCACATTAGAAATAAAGGCTTCAATCTAACTCATGCTAGAAATATTTGAGGAATTTGATGCTTAAATAACATTGCCACAATGAATTATTCCATCCGTCTCAAATTATCTGTCATGTTTCTCTTTTACACGGCCCTTACAAAACATTAATTATAAGGATTTTTTTGACTATTTTACCCTTATTTATGCTTCAAAATATAATCTATCTTCATTAAATATTTATTTTAGTTATGTGTCATCTTCAACTTCAAGAACAATTACTACTAAGGGTAAAATAAGAAATAAACAATAATGTTGTCTTGAATTTCTAAAATAACAAATAATTTAAGACAACTATTTTTAGAAACCACGACAGATAATTTGAGATGGAGGGACTAAATCATTTTTCCCAACATGTCTCGCATAGTTAATAACTATTTAAAAAGATATTTTTGTGAGTCTATTCTTGGTTCTTGCAGTTGCTCTTTTAGCTCTTTAACGAATTCCCCATAGTGTTTGCCTATGTCAACTAGCTTGGTGGGCCCGGAATGCCCGACAACTCAATTTATCCGGTAAACTACTAGGAGCTCATGTAGCCATAGTGGATTAATCATATTCTGGGTTGCGGATTCCACATGCTGTCTAGCAGAGATGTGATTATTTGAAGTGAATTCTCTTTTTGTAGTGGATGCCGAACCTGCTGTATTGATTCTTTTTCAATATGATGTGATATGTTCAAGATCAAAGATGTCTTCGTTCTTGATGCTAGCATTTAAATAGGGACAAACTCTAGCACCTCTTAGCGAGATGGCCAGGATGCTTTGGTTTATCGGATCGATCGCAGTGGTCAAGTGCTAAATAAATAAGTGCGCTGTAGATTGTGATGTTTTGCTGTCCCATAGTACTAAAAAAACATCTAATAGCATGATGAGAGCTCTTAAAGAAGGTTTTATTGTAGACACGTCTTGATCTAGTAATGCTGAAGTTTTCGTGTAAAAATAGCACGGGCTAACCAGTTTTCGGACTGATCATTAAAAAAAAGCCAGCATTTGCAAAGTCATTGAAAAATAACCACTATTTTACTGCAACACAGAAAGTTCCAACATAATATACTGGAGATCGGTGCACCTGTGTATGAACTTCCAGCATATTAAGCTGGAACTTCAACACGCTGTAAGTTCCGGTATAATATACCGGAGATTAGAGCACCGGTGCTCCAATCTCCAGTATATTATGCTGGACCTGTATATTATACTGGATACTGGAGTTTCAGTATATTATACTGGAATTGCAGTATATTATACTGGAGTATATTTCCAAATTTTGAACAGTGTTTTCATTCAGATTTATCTTTACATGAAAAGTGGCTAAATTTCGATTACTTTTGAAACTGTGACTATTTTTGAAATACCACTTGTAAATCTGGCTATTTTTGAATTTCTCTCAGTTTTCACTTACTCAAATGCTAGCAATGCTAGTATTCTGATGAAGACATCTTTGATCTATCACATTGTTGGATTGATGTAAAAGAGTCTATTCTTGATATTGGTAGATCACAAAAAGTTAGTCATTTTCTTATAATGGTGTTCGGGCCAGCTTGTGTGCGCCTCGACTAATTTCGTGAGGTACTTCCTACCTTTCGACAACACAAGTTTCCGGTAACATAGAATTGGAACACTTTCTAGTGGTGTTCTGTTTCTCCTGGTGCCCTTTTGGATTAGCTAGAATGAAACTATCCAGAAGCAATGGCTTCAGTTGTTTGTCATCTTGATTCGTAGTGTCTATATGGTGTAAACTGTCTTAAGCAGATAACAAAAACAAGTGAGGGTTGGTTGCTCAGTTGGTAAAGCACCTCCACCCACAACCGTTAGGTCTTGGATTCGAGTCACGCCGGAGGGAAGTGTGAAAACAGTACAAATCCTCCTAACTTGGGAAGGAATTTAAAAAAAGAAAAAAAATAACAAAACATAAAATAGGATAGAAATGTACTGTTTATAACAGGAAGGATCCCCTCCCAATATTGTTTCTCATTTGAGACGCCCTTAAGCCCTGAAGCTCGGAGAAGTTCAATTTTAGGTTGCCTCTCAAAATAGACAAGGCACTAAAGTGTGCGCCTTATCATCCAAAAGTTCTTCATCCATCCAAGTTAATAATTCTTGATGAAACGGTTAAGTTGCTGTATGGCCAAGTAAGAGGTAACAGTCAAAGTTATGGAAGTAGTTCTTTCTAGACATGTACGCACTGAATTTTTTTTTTCCTTCTAAACTTTATGCATAGCAGGAGTTTAACGCATCAAACTGTTAAACGTAAGTGTTGCACTCACCTCACCGTACCTCTGTAGACCGCTATTTACCTCCCTCCCCCAATCTCTTTCCAAGTCGCTCAACTGGAGCAAATTCTGGCCAATCTAACGCACGTATGGCCAAAAACACCAAAAAGAAAGGGAAAATGATATTGTATAACGACTCTCAAAATCAGCCTATTTGCCTGTTTCCCTTTGTGTGTAGCCCCACTCTGATCCCTCCTCAACCCCTATTACCTTTTAACTGGAGGAGGAAGGGAGGTGGGGAGTTACACTTTTTTCTTTTTCTTGGACTTGTCACTTAGGAAGAATATATATTTCAATGAAAGCCCATGTTTTGGCTTGTGAGAATCAACCATCACATTTGATCTAGCCACCAGACTCAGTTTTGGGACAAAAGTAGAGCATAACTGGAAGACTATGTACCAAATGTAACTTACACAAAACTAGAGCATAACCAAAGGCATACAGTGGCGAATCACAGACTAGAAGGATTTGTTCAGAGGCACATAACACATCCGAATTTAATTCTACAAACTGTACCAAAAGTTCCTTGGTAACCGACGTTTGATCCATTCCATTCCAACATTACAAACTCATGCCAAGATGAAAATCAATGAACAACTGGCTTTAATGGATGTGCTCTAAGTTTCGACATATCCAAGTTTGCGTCTAACTCTTCATCCAATTCCCCAACAACACTTCTGCAACAATGAAGGAAAAGAACCTCATAAGGAATACATTCTCATTGTTTGCTAATCACTATAAGCAACACATGTCCATTTTTTTAGTATATGACGGGGAAGCAAACAAAATACGTACATGTTGTCCCCTCTTATGATATAAAGACCTAAGACGAGCTGCTGTACACCTTCCTGCATATAAAAAGTAGCACTCAGTATATCGAGGATTAACGAATTAACAACTGTGTGAACGAGAAAGAAGGCAAAAGGGATACTTCAGAAAAAACAGAATCAAAGTAAAAATATGGATATCCAACAACAAACACTGTTCCAATCTGAGCATCTATGTTTCACCTCTATGGGGCTGATAGCAGGTACATCCAAGTTGCGTATAAAAAAAATTGTGTGTGTGTGGTGGG